CATAGATGACAACTTTATCACTTAAGTTGGCATTCATTACATATGTGTAAGGATTTTTATTTTTTCAAGAGGAGTTTCATTTGGATTTCTAGCGTATAGCCATGCATATACACAGCAGTCAAAGAAGCTATAGCCTGTCATTTCAATAAAACATGTATGAAAGCATCCCTAAGCACCTCCTGACATGTCAGGAATATATGGTGTAAGAGTGCGTCCATGTCAGCAGTGACAAGCTGAACCTTAATGGCTCTAAAACAGTCTTTATGGTTTACTGTACCCGTAATCCATTTTATAATGAGTGCTCAACTAAATACAACGGTTCTGAGAGTTTCCTCTGTCTTTTAAATCACCCTGAGGTGCCTAGACGAAGGAAAAACCTCCAAACTGTGGGTGATCCTTCCAGGGAAGCTCTGTGTGCTGAAACACTTCCACTCAACAGATAAATTAAGGATAGGGCTTTAGCCTAATCCTTAAGTTTCCTTCTGTGGATTTTAAGAGAGACCACTACTGATATTTTCTTGCAGTCTGGGGGAGGTTTTGTATTTTACCAGGCTGGCACTGCCCGGGACTTGCAAAATGTGGGGAAAAGGGAGGTTGCCTGTAGAAGGCAGGGGCTGCTGAGAGTCAGCTGCAGGCTCACATTTTAAAGAAAGGCAAAATGAGGTTCAGATGTCCAGTAGAGTAGCAAAAATGGAAATAAATAGCAGGAGCCTCCAACTGAAACACCTTTCCTCAATGTGAAAGCTAAGTTGTGCTTCATTTATTTATTCAGGGGAAAGCCTGCATGTGTTGTGGGGGCAAATCAAGATGTATTCATCTCCATCAGCCCCAGCCCCACCACCCTGCCCTGCTGGCGTGGCCTGTGCTCCACAGCCTTCCCCAGCCTGTCAGCTTCTGGCCTTGCTGCTGTTTTGGTGGGTGGGTACCCATGCTCCTGCCTGCAGAGATGAGGCTCTGACATCTAAAGGTGAAACTTTATAAATTCAGCCCCCAGGTGGTTTGGGCACCACACGTGCTCAGGGACCAGAAGCTGCGCAGCCCCTGCGGGGTGGCCATGAGGCTCCTGCTCCCCCCCCCCCCCCAGCACCGGGACAGCCAGGTTCACAAGCAGTTTTGCTCTCTCTTGTTTCTATTCTTTTTAAGATCAAATCTCTGTTTTCAGTCTTTGTGTCTCTTGAACGAAATAAAAAAAAAAAAAAGAAAAAAAGAAAAAAAAAGAAAAAGTTGTAGTGCCATCCCCAGGGAAAGGCACCCCCAGGCCCCACCGCCACCACCCTGGGGCACCAGCAGCACCCTCACAACCCTTCCCCTTCAGCCACATTCCCTCACCAGCTTTCCATCAGAAAGCACACCCAGCTCTTCCGTGCCTGGGGACACCTCTGGGCACCCCTGTCCCCTGGAGGACACCGAAGCTTTCCCCAAAAAGGGCACCCGAGGGCTCTCCGGCTTGCACGGGAGGTGCCAGCTCCCACCAGGAGGGTGCCGGCCCAGGGGCTGGGTGCCTGGCGAGCACCCAGGGGAGGAAAGCAACTAGAAACAGCCACGTAACATCTATTTAGAGCCTGAGAGCATTTGCGAAAGCCGTCCCCATTACTGTTGAAAAGATGCAAATTTGGTGAAATAATCAGCTGTATGGCTGCAGGCTGTTTCTCAAGTACCCTGATTCCTTACAGGAGTGAAGGTATTAGTGCAAGGCACACAGCAAGGCCAAGTTCATGTTGCTCAGAGGTAGCCCCTAACCAAACTCCACCAAGTGCTATAAAACAAGGTTTGTTATCCTGGAAAGCACTGACAGTTCATCCAATAAAGCCCCCCAAACCAGGACCCTGCAGGCTGGTTGCAGGGGTGCACAAAGCAGCGCTCACGGCGTGCCTGACACAGGGGCTCGTCGCCCGCGCACGGCCCGCTCTGCACCACGGTGCCCGGCTTGTGCTCAGCACCAGGCAATTAAGACAGCACCTTGCATCAGGTTTTGCATCAAAAAAAAAATAAAAAATCCCATCTTACGTTTAGGGATCTGCTTATCGGCTAAAACGTACAGCAGGCTGTGCGCAGGGCACAGCACCGGCTTTGTGTTCCAGGCTTGAGAACAACTGAGGAGCAGCTCTGCTGTACAAGCGCTGGGAAGCAGCTACATGCACGCCTTAATGCGAGGTGTGAATCTGCCTCATGTCGGCAGACTTCCCTCCCTGCCTCCCTCCTCTGCCTCCCAGCTTCGTCTGGCTATACTTCTGAAAAAAAAAAAAAAAAAATGTATTTAGGTAAAAGATATTTAACATGCACAAAACAGAACCATTTTCCTAGTAGCTATTATTGTAAATAACACACTAACAAGTTTTAAAGGCTGTAGCACATAAACTATATATACAATTCATTTCAGGAATATGAAATATATTCTTAAACCACCAGTGTCTTCAGTAGAGATAGAAGGTGAGCCCTCAGTCAAGTAGTTTAATTATTGTAATCCTAGTCCTCCATAAAATCAGTTTTACGGCCAGTGACTTAAAATAATGTCATGGAAACAAATATATACACTAATATCAGGCAGATATTCAGTTATGTTTGTGCTGTGCATACAGTAGTACAGAAGATAACAATGTAAGACATCAGTTTGAATCTTGAAATATTATTTTCTCATGTACGGCATAAGGAGAAAATGGTTCATGCTGCTTTATAATGCAGTAATGAAATAAACTGAAGTTGGAGAGGGTGTGTTTGTGTGTACAACCGAGTTTATCCTACGATATGCATCTTTATGTATTATGTATTCAGTTTTCTCACATTTTTCTCAGTGGACAGATATTGTGCTGTAGTTCTCAGAATACCTGAGAAAAACATTCCAGCAAATTGCATTACTTGTCTATACAGATAGCATGAGGAGCACAAAACAGGCAAGGAGAGTCTTCATCATGTAAAGCCTTTTTTGATTTCCTCCCCCCCCCCCAATCTTCTGTAACAACATAAAAGATACTGTTATGACAAGTACTCTGGTAGTTCGTTCTTTCATTTATAATTTAACCACAGCCTATATAACCTAATCAGAAAAATGTGGAGCATGATTAGTACAACAATTGAATACAGTTGGGCTTCTTGAGCAACTCAAAGAACAATACAAAAGAAAGCAAAAAGAAAGAGGGGGGAAAAAAAGCGAGGAAAAGCATCGCAGGCATATCAGAAAATATGTGGTATTTCTTTAATATTTCATTTTAAACTACCTAATTGTGTTTTTAAGCTTCGGTTCCTGTAATTTTGCAAGACGAGGCATTCCAGTGAGAAAACATATGGTAAGGGATTTTTAAACCACATAGCTAGAGTGCATCATAGACTTATCTGCTGCTTTAGTGTCACAAAAATCCACCACTGAATTTATCCAGTCACCCATTAAAGAAAGAAAAGAATTAAAGGAAAAGGAGTTTAAAAATCCCCAAATGCCACAAAAACTACTGGAAAGTGACACGGGGTTCAATCCACGAGCGAGGTGGATCTTTGGGGCTTCTCGGGAAGGAGAAGCAGCAATGAGCTCTCTCAGGGCTGCCGGTTATTTCGGGATACCGCGTAGTAAATATTGCATTCAGTTGTGACAAACTGTCTTTAGCAACAACTTGTAACATCGGCTTGGCTAAAATGACTTTCAATGAATCTCGTGCCTCGAGTGGAGGCGAACCTGGGCTCGGGGCCCCTCTGGAAGCAGCAGGAGTGAGATCTGGTGGCACAGCCGGTGCCATGCTGGCTTCCAGCTGAATCAGCACCTCGTGTGGCCCTTCTAGAGGGGATGTCGAGGCACGGTAGGGATGAACTTTGACATTTGTACCCAGCTGGGAGAGCTGAGCCAGTGCTTGGAGCTTCTGGGCCAGCACTGGCCACCAGCACCCTCCCCCCAGTGTCCTCCTGCCACGCAGCACGGGTCCCCAGCACAGGGCCCTCGGGAAGAAGACCAGGCACGACAAAAGGCAATATCCCCAATGGTGTCGTTGCCACCAGCCCCACAACAGATTGCCAGGGGCTGGCACTAGCATAAAGTGTTAGGATTTGGTGGGAAGAGGAGTTAAAAGAAACTTTTGAACGCCAGTGGTGAACTCTTGGTGTGAAAAAAAAAAGGGGACTGCTGCAGCAGAGCTGCCTCACGATGCCATTTATCAGGGCTGAGCACAGCTTATAATCAGCGTAAGGCATCGGGGAGCTTGCAGTTATTTGTTCAGAAATGCTGGAAACACGAACTAGCCTCCTGAAAACCTTTCCTTCCCACATACACGAGAAGCAGTGTCACTGCTTACACAGCTGTGCAAGCTCCTGCCTCCTCGTCCTGTTATTATCTAAATTTACCTGGAATTGGTCTTTCCTTTTTCACTGCTTATCTTGCTTTTAATAGACAAACTCTTAACCCCTTGCACTTAAAGGATTCCCCCAAGGTTGTGCACTTTTTTTCCACTGGGAGTTCCTAAGTGTAAGGAGTGAGAAAAGTGTAAGGTGTTAATCTTGATAATTAGTGCACAAAACCAATTAGAGGTCCAAAAAACCTTAAGGCACAGAAAGTGATTTTTTGTTTATTTGCTTACCTTATTAAGTTAAATATCTGTCTGAATTAATCACTAATGAATGTGAAGAAGGCTCAATAGCACTGGCTTAATGAACAGCAGTGTCAAATGCATTTTACAGGGCACCAAATCACTGGGTATAGTAAGCCAAGTTGCTATTCAAAATTACTTTTCTGCCCAATTTTCTGTTTGCAAAGCAGTAAATTATTTACATTTATTGTGCTTATTTAAGTACTTAAATAGTATGAATGGAGTACAGGCACATTTTAAAAATATAGAATCATTACACAACCCTGCTGCTGGAAATTCATGTCGTTTTTCCCCTAAAGGCTGCCTTCCCCCCCGGCCAAGCTTTCTTTTACAACAATTCTTGCAACACCCCATTATTAGATGAAACATTTTTTTTTTTTCCCTGCAATTTATTATTTTGCATGCTTTCAGACAAGTGCTGTAGGACTTAAATTATGCACATCAGGAACAGTCCCTCTCACACTTGCATAGTGGCTTGAGCAAAGTTCTTAGGTTTTGTGGCTAAAACTATGCTGTCTTTCACTGCAACAACTGTATTTTCACTTTCTTTCCATCTATTATTCACATCGTAAACATCTGCATTGTAAACGTCAGATGTACTAATTGTCATGTCTCTGGCTCCGGGTATTAAGCCCTACTCTTTTGAATTAAAAGCAATATATATATATCTATGTATCTTTTTTTTTTTTTTCTATTAATATCTCAAAATGCATGTCCCTTTATTTTTTGAGCAGGCACTGGGGCTTTCGCAGCTATCTCTTACGCTGTATTTTTTTACGCTTTGGAAAAGCCTTCGTGAAATCTTTTCCTGCTGCAGATTTTGGCTGCACGGACACACAGGAGGAAGGTGAGCTGATTCATCAGCCCCGCGTTAGAGGCACATAATGGAATATAATGGAAGGGGAAAGACTAATAGCAGAGGAGCAGAAAAAGTGGAAATCCACAGCTTTCTAGGATCTCCTTAAAGGTGATTTTTTTTTTCCTTCTTCCCCTTTTTTATTGCAGCCTACAGAACAATCCAGGAAATGTTTTGTGGTAAATATGTAGCCAAACGTTTGCAAGGAGAAAAACTTTGTTCGTTTTTCCCAGCGTTCAGATGCTTTGTAAGAGCACACAAGCTGCATGAAATCCCGTGCACATAACCTAGCGTGGCTACATACGGATTCTGACTTTGTGTGTTAGTCCTTTCCTACCTTGCCTTAATAAAATAAACAGTAATAACCCTTTGAAAGATATGTTGTGGGAACATTTAAAGGGGGAGAAATTGCAAACTGCATCCTGCAGATTTAACTATTTCAGTGATTTGTTCTAAATGCTAGTAATGCAACATTAATGTTAAAAAGTCCCATGCTATTCATAAGAGATTATACAGGAGTAAACATTACAATGGCCGTAACGATCTAATTAAAAGAATCAGGCACACTTGGAAGAATCCCGCTTAAAAATAATAATAATAATAGTAAAATCGATGGCACAGCCCCCGGTCCGGAATGGGACGGAGCACGGTGCTGTGATCAGACACAGCCTATCTCGTACATATCTAAAGTCCTCTGGTCTTTGTTACTTAATGCGATGCAGAAGATCAAAGATCCGTACAGTATGTGCCGGGGTGTTGCTGCAGTCCCTGTCACACGTTAAGGGGGTTGCTGTGGTGGTGTTTTTTTTTTTTTTTTAATTATCTTTTTTTTTTTTTTTTTTGCTGTTTTTTCTGCTTTTTGCAGAAATACAAAATATAAGATTTTTTTTTTTAAAATAATAATAGTAATGATGAAGAGGATAAAACGAGAAGGAGAAGAGCTCTTGAAGACCCCCCCGGCCCTCAAGGCGCTGGGAAACGGGGCCGTGCTCGGCGCTGCCCCGGAGGCCGGGACCGAGCCGGGGCCGCTGCCCCCCGCCGCCAGCACCGGGGCCGGGGCCGGGGCCGGGGCCGGGGCCGGGGCCGGGGCGGTGCCGGCTCGGTGCCGACCACCGGGGGGCGCTGTGGCTCCGCGCCGCCCGCCCGCCGCCCGCCGCCCGCCGCCGGGAGCCGATCGCGCCCGCCGCAACCGCACCGCAGCCGCGGCCGGGGAGGGAGCGAGGCGGCAGCAGCAGGAGGAGGAGGAGGAGGAGGAGGAGGAGGAGGAGGAGGAGGAGGGAGGGAGGAGGGAGGGAGGGAGCGGCGGCCGCGCTTTACAAGTTCCTGAATTTTATGGCTGCGCTGCAACAGCGGAATGTCCACTCAATCTGTTGAGAAGTTAGCACAGCAAACATGCGCCGGGCATATTAAACACGGGATGAAATGGTGTAGTGAATATTTATTAGCGAAAATATAGGTTCTCAAAAACAGAAATAAAACAGGGTAATGGATGAAGGGAAGAATAGATTTAACACTGAAATAAATATCAAAGGTGCAAAGAAAAGGCAAAATATAGTGTTCAAACAAAGCTGCGAATTGGGCCCAGATTTAATGCGTCCCCGGGGAAGAAAAGGTTGGACAGACTGTTGGAATTGAGATACTACTTTTAGTACACAGCCCCTGTAATGCTGTCAGCTTTATTTCCTTTGACAAATGTGAAATAAAATTTGTCAAAGTTAGGGCTTGGTAAGTTTGCTATTGAAAATTCAATTGGTAATAACTAGTATAGCCTGGCACTCAGGAGATTTTTAAAGGAAAGGGATGTTTAAGATGCCGGGAGGGAGGGAGAGAGGGGGGGGGAAAAAGTGTGCTACGGATTGTGGCTCACTTTTTAAAAATTTAACAGTTGACTTAGGCAACGAGATTCCTCCATTTATTATTAGTTGTAATCAACCGCGGAGATGCCAGTTGTATTTGCTCTCTGGTATTATATTTGACACAGAAACAGGCTCTAAAAGAGGGCTCTGACTGACGTGTGCAAGGAGAGGAATACCTGCCTGCCAACCCAGCACCAAAACCTGAGTTAATGCAGGGACGGCA